GCTCGGCAACATATATGATATTCTGAATCTAGAGGATGTGAGGAATTGTTCGGTGTAAATAAATTCATATGTTACTGGGCAAACTTGAGTCTAACGGTAGCTTGAATATAATTGAAGTGATCTATAGTGATATGTTATACAATGAATGAGAGCGACTGCGCTGATTGAGATAGGCTCAAGAAAATGGCTATATCTCCTCAAGCAAGAAGAATCGCTCGGCAACATATATGATATTCTGAATCTAGAGGATGTGAGAAATTGAATGGTGTAAAGAAATTCATATGTTACTGGGCAAACTTGAGGGTACCAGTTTTCTGATGAGGTATCAAGCTACTTGAGCCATTCTACATTTCCGCCAAGCTGTGCACATTTGATGTTTGGGGTGTGGTCAATGATACAGTTCTATAGGAATATCGCGATTTCTGTTTTCACACTACCTTTATCCTTTAGTTTGCCTATATGATGTCGTGGTACCACGTAATTCAGCATGTTCTCAGCTTACAGGTGATCATTTATGTTGACGGGAAATTTCGCTTATTTCATTATTTGTTTATACGCATGCTTAGTTTAAGAGATATGACCGTTTTTCTGAAGAAACTTGTCCGAATGCATATACACTTAGTCAGGAATTGCGCCAGCATTTTCGGATGTATTCACTTAATAAAATTATTGTCTTATTTGGAATGTCTTCATTCGAATTCGCTTTTTGCTTGTTTGAAATTCAGCTGTGGTTGTAAGCAAAGCGCACTTAATGAAGTCGATTCTCAGAAACAGATTCAACTCTGCCTTTAGTGTATTTTTTCAAACTCAGGTGCATCCTTGTAAACGGTTAAAGGAACGAAGTGTTGAGGATATTTTCAAGTGTGCAATAATAAGTTTATTCGCAACGTTGAACTGTACAATCTTCGTCAAAAATGCGATCGTTAATGTCAGCAGTTAAAATTGTAACTGCATCTACTGTTCAGTTGACAATTTCAATGGTATTTCGGTTGATTGAGACAGCTTCGTTGCAGAAATATCATTAATGAGAGTATTTAGAACGATGCTAGTGAGTGTGGTTGCAGTTTGAATTGTGATAATGGAAGAGATGTTGGTTTCAGAAAAGGGAGTGAAGGTTGTAGGAATGGGGGTAGGGAATGAGGTACTATTGCTAAAAAGGAATATGATTGGTAGGAGAGGGGGAGCTGGTATATTAGTTGGTGCCATCGGTAGTAATATCAGCAGTAGTAGTAGAAATGCTATATAAACAGTAGCACAACGGTTTTGTAGTTGTTTTTAAAGCGCAGTCACCTTGATTGCCGTACTCATCGTTGCGCGTTATCTGAAAGCATCATTTCATTCATCAACAACGAATGAAATTTTCATCGATCATTCTTATAATTTTCATTTAAGAGTGCACGGGCTTCAATGATCTCGCATGCAATTAACTTGAATGTGTTTTTAACGAAAACAGCAGGCGATCACATGGAATTGAACAAAGATAAAATAAAAGGATGCTTATTGTTATTTGTTATTTAACTGGAATAAGAATCGAATAAGGTTGTGAAATTTGAAGGAGTTTGCAAAGATGAAGTTGGAAACCTCTGAAACGACGATTACCTGATCATTTTCGAATTTAACGATCGCTTCATACTAACCATGCGATGGAGATGCTTCTGAAGCAACAATCAACACATCCTTTCTGACATGCGATTTGGCCGAAAGTACCTGGAATGTCGAAGATAGCTAGGACTCTAACAAAAAGAAGTGTGCTATTTGGAGTCAAAAATAGATAGACGATAAAATATTGCAGTTCTGCGAAGAACGTTCACAAGAGATCATAATTCGCAGTCGACAATGAATCACCTTTGTAAATTCGAGTTTCGCACAGATATTTGAAATATTTTCTGATTCGAGGAAGCGATTCACAGTATCGATAACAGTTCGACCGGCTTGTTGAACACGATCGCTGTCCAACATGACATCTTTCCACGTATAACACAAACAGTACCACTCATCCACTTCCATCTCCTCACATGATCTTCAAACATCACGATAACTTTCTCAAACACCATTCAACTTTCTAGAAAGTATTCACGCCTATAACTCTCAACGAGCAATGCAATTCAATTGCGTCAGTAGTTCACGTAATGTCGATAGCAGTGAACACAATTGTAAAGAGGCGAGAGAGCAGTATAACGAATGGAACAAAGTCACGAATCAACCTATTTCAAGCATCATAAAATAATTACCAACTTTCTGCATAAATTACAAGAACACGGCGAATATACTGCCCGAACCATTGATGGAAGGGGAAAGCGGCTAAAGAAACAAAAAGAAACAGAAAGGATACAATTTATGTGTATTTCTCAACCTGATTGTTTATCGAGATTTTATTATGCATATGAATCCGATCTCATCGGGTGGAATCGATCGCAGTCTGCATCTAAATATTTGAAGTGACTTGGGGGATGTAATGTTTTGGAGGAGCAGATTCCAGGTTCTAACGACGCTGTTTGCGAACGAAAACTTTGTAGGGTTTAATTTGCAATGCTCCACACCGAGTTTAAGGGAGTTTACAGAACAGATGAAGCCTCCTCTGTCTGAATGAGGTATCCAATTTTAGTAGGATCGAAGTAGAACCGTTATGGTTGATCTTCTGTCGAGAAAGCCATATTGGAAAGAGGAAAACAGCTCATTACTCATAAGATAGTTTCTGAGTTTGGACGCAATTATTTTTTATCACTTTGGAAATTGAGTAGGTTAATGAAATGGGGCGATAGATTTGTGTATTAATTTTGGAACCACTTTTTGTGTATGAGCCTGATGATTGCTGATTTCCATCACGAGGGGACTGGGCCAGCCACAGACTGTTCTTATAGTCAAGAGAATGTTTGCAATAAGCACAGCATCATGCCATAATTCTGTTCATTCGTAGTGTATTGTTTGAAGAGTTCGGTGATAAATTTGTTATGGATTTTTTTCATTATATTCAGGATGTTGATTTCACTGTATGTTGTCATGCTTCGTCTTTTTTCATTCCTATTGTCTAGTCACGAATGGGTTGAGCGACTGAAATCATTTTTTAATGTTCGCACTAAAATGGCAACTTGAAACGTGAAATTTCCATTAAGAATTGTGCTGCTTGCTACTTTATCTTGCTTATGGCGTTTTTCTTATTGATTTTCATTGTCATTTCCTTGTTTCGAGTTCACTTCTTCGAAGTTCCATGTGAGTGATGATAATGAAGTTATCTTTTACAGCTTATGCTTAATTAGTCACCTGATTTTCACATCTTGATACAGTTCTTTGTTCTGATGTCTTGTGTAAAAAGTTAACACAAGTTAGAATTCCTAAAGAGTAACAATTATTATCGTTTTACTTGACAAGTTGACAATGACGCAGTTGTGGCTGGGCTTGAAAGGCCCTGTTGAAGTCTGATAGTATAAAATGGTTTAGGTCGCGCACCTGATCTGGTAGAATTTTCTCTCCTTCTCTTCTAGTTAAAGTCAGGAGGACGAAAAAAATTACAAAATCTTAGATCTTGGCTGCATTATTCATGAAGTTATCAAAGACTGAAAGTTTGCACCGGTCTTCCTAGGCCTGTTCATCGTATGAGAGTTAATATGTTGAGGGACCGCGTCGAGGCTAAACTCACCCCGATTGTAGGCTGGGACGTAACTGGGCTCTAAATTGCTCTAAGGCGTGTGCACTATGTTCTGATATTGCCTTGAAAGTTGTTTACTTATTTATTCATTTAATCAGCAAATCCAACTCAAAATTTTACCATTGCACTACTATTGCAATAGTTGAAATAAGTGTTCGCACTGATGAAACCGAACCGAAACGAACTGTGCACAGCAAAATATGATACGCGGATGCAAGGAACACTGCAAGTGTACAGGCTATGGTAACAGAAGCCAAATTGCACTTTTAAAGCGACGCGGCTAGGCAGAGCAAAGAAAAAAAGAGATCCCACAAAAAAAGAGAATTAATTTATCGATAAGGCACGGGAATTTGACGTATTTCAATGCAACACCTGATTTGAACGTATGCATGAGGTAGAAGTGTGAAGGAAATTGAATTCTCTACAAACCAACAAACTTCGAGAAAATTTGAACGTTCGGTTTTCGAAATTGTAACCTGAAATGATGCCTCGGTATGCAAAATATTGCTCTTGCGAGCGATTGAAATGGAAAAAGTATCGGAAATGAAATTCCATTGGGGATTTTGATTCCATTGGGGATTCTTGCGATTTTGATTCCATTGGGGATTTTTGCGATTTTGATAGGGGGAGCGGGATCAGCGTGATATTCGATCAGCATCATATTCTCTTTTAAATNGACTACTTGGAATTGATCGATCAAATTTCTGTTCCGTCACTTTTTCCATTTCGATTGCTTGCAAAGGCATTATTTTTCGTTATGAAGGTTCATTTTAAGTTGTAATCTCGAAACCTAGATTATGAATTTTCCTGAAATCTTCTGTGCTTGTACAGAATTAAATTTGGAATCAGTCGCGAAGGTTGCGCTACGACAATTTCTCCTTGTCAGCTTTCACAGCTACATTCATTCTGTTCGTTTTGTGCGCATTTACAAAGCGTTTTCCTCTAATTCTCTCTCGTTTCAACATTCGGACGCGCGCACGTATGAAAGTGCACTTTGGCTTCTTTTTCCAGTGTACACACCACTCGCTAGAGTGAGATAGACAGATATTTCCGTCAACCATATGAGACGCACGTCATCATGAATAATATTTTCTTTCTCATAGCCCCGTACTAGCTGAAAGATTATCAAATGCAAGGATTTTTGTGTTATTTGTGAATGCTGTTGGCATCCTTGATTGTTGAACAAAATCGATTTTCACGTGAATTTGAAGTGGTAATATATGAATGTCAATGGCTGTATCCAACGAAACTCAAATTAAATCACTCGTTGGCTTAGGTTTGAAAGCAAGTGCTGTAGGAAATAATTGATTATTGCCTTTTCAGGTATGCAAAAAGAATTTCTTTACGTTTACAGTTGTGATCTGGATCGCAATGTTCAGGTTCGAGTCGGCTCATTGGAAGGAAGTGCATCAATTTTTACACGTTCACCAATTGTCAACGGTGGTAATTACTTCGTCACCATATCCGTGAGTTATAAACGTCTTGTGGTTCCCGAGTGGTGCTGATCGTTCACAATTGGCTTCCTTATTAAAATGTTGAGCCACTCTATTTGTTCGTTCCTTCAGTTGCTTCAATCTATTAACTCACCATCAGCAAACCGTTACGGAACAGAAGTTGTATCGTATTAAAGCGAGCTCTAATGTTTTCTCGTTATTGTCACTAAACTTCTCTACCATGAACTTCATGCATGGTGCAGTCTCATCTGCTCAGTATCCGGGTGATATTCAGGAATAAGCAAAATTGACTTCGTTCTTTGCAAAAGGCGTCTAACAGTAGATCATGTTACATTCAGGTGTATTGTAACGGTCGTTTAGTGGGTGTACCCGTATCTACATCCTATAAACCTCCACCGTCATCATCACGAGTCGCGTTGCACACATGGGATGAATGGATAACATTACCCGTTAAATATAGGTTAGATTCCGCTTTCTTTTCTTAGATACTTCCATCTAAACTCTTCATAATTCCTTTCGTAGTGGAAAGTCCCGATTTCACAGATGGATTAACATTCAAGACTCATTTGAATATGAATTTGATATACGAATGTTGTCAGTGGATTATTTGAGCATTGAAATAACGTTATTGCAGCGAGTTAAGTCGGGATGCATTTATCTATACACGTCTTTATGACGTTTCACCGTTTACAAGAGCGCATTTGTTAGCGCATTCTTCATTGGCATTGTTCAGCAAGCGTGCCGTGTTACGGTCAGGCACTTTGAGTTTACGAATGCAACTGGTTAGCAGCACATCCAATGAAACAGCCATTGATAACGGAACAGAACCGTGCAGCGATGAGAACGTACAACCGTTGTTTCCTTCTGAGGTGAACGAGTTGAATTTTTTGTTTTCCTGTGCGCATTATTACTGGCCAAAATATGATCAATTTAGGCATTTTCTATAGATATAAACTCGATGTTTGCTATTTATTATGTGTTCGTTCAAATGATCAAAATACGAAGGTAATAGCACCATGTTCAAAAAAATTGGCTACTTGTTCAGGTAATTGAGTAATTGGAAGATAATTGTGGAGTTTCGATGCAAGAAATTTTTTAAAGGCTTTCTCTTACTTGTCTGCATGAATTATTTTTGCTGCCATATGGCTCATTTATTCAGTTAGTCAAAGAATGCGATGTTGATCGTTTGCATAAATTGACAAAGGAGTATGGTGAGAAATTGATTGAGCATGTCGATTGGTTGGATCGTATCACATTTCCATGCATTGAAAAGATCAAAAAGGAGGTGAATGTCTCGTAATGTTTATTTATTTGTTGCCTTTTCTGTTTGGATTTTCGATTCCTTCTTTTCATAATTCAAAATTGCACAGTATCAGTGTCAAAAATTGAAACTCTCTGACTATTGAATCACTCAAATGGAACGCTGCTGTCTCCAGCATTCTTGTAATGATATCGTTCAGTGAGCTGAATTAAAGAATCTATAACCTGTAATAATACCGTTGTTGATGTAAAGTGTTGCAGAGGGAGGTGGATGAACGTAGTGTATATTTAATGATCGAAATGATACGTGTTGAGTATTGCGGTAATCGTTATTCAGTGATTTATTATGAAAATAATGATGAACCAAAACTGGGTGCCTCATGTGCTCTTCACAGCCATATAACGAGCAACAGCAATGTAACTGCTGATCCGGAATTAGGAATGGAAAATTTATGTGAAACAAAACATCATATGATGACACGTAATGCTCGTGCAGATAGCATTGATCGCGAGCTGAAACCGAATGCGGCCGCTCGAGACTCTTTGCAGAATATAATCCAGGTCATATTTACGTTCTTTTATTCTAATTTGATTCATTCAAAATTCACATGCATATTTGATTCGTTAAAAATGAATATCTAATGGAATTTGATAGTGTAGTAATTAGTTCGACAAAAAATAATGAGTAGTTTAGTGATCGAACAAGTGGCCCCGATCGTGTTTAGCGAAATGTTAAGTGAAACAGTTCCATTCCGCCGTTTTGTCCATTTTCCTGAGTGAAACGATTTTCAGTATTCTGATCCACATGAGCAAGCTTATTGATCGGTTGTCGTCAAAAATTTTTGTTGTTAGAGGATTGTTTATAGATGCCATCCTCACATGCAATAAGTGTTGAACAACGTGATTTGATATGGAAATTCCGTTACTATTTAAAAAACAATCGGAAAGCTTTAACAAAATTTGTACGTTCTGTGAATTGGGAAGAAAGTGAAGAAGCATCACAGGCGCTCCAACTTATTTTGTAACTATTCGTATCTTATTGTGATTTTTGTTCCAATTCTTTTCCTGTTATTTTCTTTTTGAAATTTTGATCACAATAGTGTACTGATTCGCAGTATAATAGAACCTGTTCAGAAGTGAAATTTTCAGTCTGCAACGCACTGTTACATCAACAGTTTTCGTTTGCATGTTCTGGAAAGCCTGAAGAGTAGAAGTTTATTCACATCAGATGTATTCTGGTTTAAGAAGTTGGCAACCGGTGGATGCTGGTGACGCTTTGGAACTTCTCTCGCCAGCATTTCTGGACGGTCGTGTACGTCGATATGCAGTGTCACGTCTCGCACACGCATCCTCCGAGCAGATTCTACTGTATTTGCCACAACTTGTTCAAGCACTCAAATACGAGCCGTATACTGCCGATGTTGCTCTACTTACTTCGAAGGTGAGCAAGCATCGATCGTCGCTAATAGATGAATAAAGAATTCGTAGGGTGCAGTGTGCAGCCGGCAATTTTAAATGAAGATGCAATTGTTCGATCAGTTCGTATTACCAATTCGCTCAACTTGTTCTATTTGATCAAGTTCAGTTGTGGTTAATTGGCCACTTGCGCCGTAAATTTTAGAGTGAAGTCTCAGAGGACGACACACAAGCGAACGATTCGCCGTTAGAAACTGGTTTTGACAGTGCGAATCGTGCATCCTCATCGTCGGGTGCAGTACTATCCAACAGCGCAGAGCGTGATCGCGAATCATCTGGCGATGATTTGACGTCTTTTCTCATTCGAAGTGCGTGCTCTGAACCGTTGATTGCCAATTACCTCTATTGGTATCTCAAAGTTGAGGTTATTCTTTGGCCATTTTTGTTGCTTTTAAGTTTAATATAACACTGAAATGGAAGTGACCTGACTTTTCAGCATAATTTTTTTGTTCTTAATATTCTTATTATAAGATCGGTAATGATTATCATGAATCGTGACCAAATTTGTATTCTATCCAATTTTCGCAATTTAAGTTCCTTAGTTATTTAAAGAAATGTGCATTTTTGTTTGGATTTTAGGTGGAGGCGACGGCAGAAGTGGACGTCGGAGTGTCACGCATGTATGAAAGTGTTCTCTGTCGACTACTCGCATCCCTTCGTTCAGCATGCGCTGAATCGAGGCGTCGTGCCGCTTCTTTGGACCGTCAGCAAGTTTGTTTATTCGCTCATTCCATTTATTTTCCCTTTTGAAACATTGGCTATGCCGCAGTATTGCCAGTATTCAATTGGAGAGTACGATCCACTAGAGATCGAGTATCCCAACTGAAGAGTTTTGAATTTGTGTTATCGAATTATTTCATTGCATTCAGAATTTCATCAATTTATTGGTTTCAATGGCAAAATTGGTGTCGCAAGAGAGCGGAAGTCGAGCGCAAAAGGAGAAGGCATTACGCAAGGCACTATGTGACGAATACGAACTGCTTGATTTGGGTGGTCTACCGTTGCCGCTCGATCCATCGGTGCGTGTGAATAGCATCGTGCCCGAAGCAGCGTCTCTTTTCAACAGCAATCTAATGCCGATGAAATTGTCGTTCAAAACTGAGAACAATCAAACTTATATTACCATCTTCAAACGAGGCGATGATCTGAGGTATTATATTTTCACAATGATGTCGTGTCAGTTTTTTTTTTGAATTCCGATTGATTTGGAGAGATTAAGGTCATCAGCAAGGCACTGCTATTTCATTCGTTTTTACATGTATTAATGATTGGTTTTGCCTTGCAATTGGCAGCAAAAAATTTTCGAGAAGAAACTTTTAGAAAACAAATGTAACTTTGTTTGAAGCCAACTGTGATAGTTGAGAAATGCTTGTTGGATGTTGATTTTGTGCTTTATTTTCGTTCACTGATTGATCGGTTCGCATATATGCGCAATTTTGATGAACATAAACCGTAAGTGTGTTGACTGTTTGCAAACGTTAGCGGTTCCTCATGGACGATGCTCATTTCTGATGAAAATAATTAGTTCTGCGGGTTATGTGATTGCATTTCAAATGAAAGAATTGGAAGTGAGAAAGCGACTTTCGACTAATGCTCTTTATTAAGGCAAGATCAACTTGTTATTCAAATGATTCGTTTAATGGACGGTATTCTGAGAGCAGACGGACTGGATCTGAAGTTGACACCATACTCTGTGCTAGCCACATCCGTTTCTGAGGGCTTTGTACAGTTCGTTAAAGCAACACCACTTCGCGATGTGATCTCTAATTGGGGTTCTATTCAGGTGATCTTCGATTTTTCAGCTCAACTTTCATTCCTCCAGTTAGTTGTGCGTTTTATGTTGGACGTCCAGTTGATGTTCACTGTAAACCATTTGAAGGAATGTCTGCGTTCATTCCGACCGTACACTGGTGGACCGTTCGGAATCGAGCCCGAAGTAATCGATAATTACGTTCGATCTTGTGCTGGTTATTCGATTATCTGTTATATTTTGGGAATTGGTTAGTTTCACCTGTTTTTGTTATATTTTCTTTTTGCACCAATAATTACATCATTTTCAAGAGTTGAAGGTCACCTCTTGTTAATATGTAGGATCATCTCTTTATATGTTGAATTTCGTGCGCAGTTATTGCTGATCATTTACACGTACACTATAGATGCCTAATTTTCATATTTCTGTCTGCTCCGTTGGAGGCAAATCCCAGAAAACCCCAAATTTATTCTTTTCCGTCGATATCCTAAATCAGGGATTTAAGTTAATCACTGAATTATTTGTCGAGCAATTAAGTTGAATAATATTCCAAGGTAGTGCATGGGTGCGTATCGTTTTAGGTGTAAAGTTTGTTGATTTATATGATTGGAAACTGAATTGATTTGGTGATTATTTTAAAGGTGACCGTCACCTACATAATTTGCTCTTATGTGAGAACGGTCGAATGTTTCACGTTGATTTCGGTTATATTCTCGGTAGAGACCCGAAACCGCTGCCGCCACCGATGAAACTTACCACGGAAATGATCAACGCAATGGGTGGATCGCACAGGTTCTCTTCTTGTTTCTCTTTTGTGTTCATCAATTGCTGTTTTACTTTATTGAATCCGCATATGTCCATATCATTTCATTTCTTTTGAACTTATTGCATATTTGATTATTGTTATACTTTATGTAATTATTTTCTCAATTCTTATCGTTATAAGTCTTTTTCGTGGTGAATTTTTTTGTCGGCAATTTCCTTTTTTTTGTTTGGCTAAGATAATATCTGCAGTTGTTTATCATTAGTTTGTAGCTATGAAGCCACTGAATTGATCGAAAGTCAGCGCATTTGTCACGTTGGATAACGATTGCAATTATGAGTTGCTCACTCGAAAATATTTTATGCGTTTATAAATGTTTACAGTTATTTTGTGAGCTAAATCAGATGGTTTTCAGCAAGGAATGGAAAGATTTTCGTGCATTTTGCTTTTCGGCATTTAATATTCTACGGCGACATGCCAATCTTATCCTTAATCTCTTTTCACTTATGCTCGATGCGGGTATTCCGGATATTGCAATTGAGAAGGATAAAGCTGTACAAAAAATTGAACAGAGGTATTGATAGTGTGTACTTTATTCATTTAGTACCTTTTTTATTCAATTTCATTATCACATTGTCGCATACATGCTATCTTCGTAACCTTTCATTAGAATTGTTGTTCATTACCGGTCATGTAATCTAAGATTTGTTCAAATTAATCTGTTGTCAACAGTTGGTCATTTGTGATGTTCGAAACTTTTTCAGGTTCCATCTAACGTTGAGCGACGAACTAGCTGATCAGCAGATTCAACGTCTCATCGATGAATCGGCGAATGCCAAAATGCCAAGAATAGTTGATTTTATGCACGACGTGCGACAGATGATCTCAAACTGAAGCTTTCTTCTTATCTCATCGACTCATTGGCTGATAACTCGTGCATCGTTTCATTTACGGCAAGATTCGATCGTTCATCAAGCGTCGCTTTCATTCCCATCAATATGACTGTATTCTAGTTAATTGGTGTGCTTTGTCAAAGAATTGATCTTCCTACCAAACGTAAGCCAATCTGTTAGATGTACTAGTTGCTCGCAGGAGTTTTCGCAATTTTTTATCACTTCTTTTTGTCGGTTTTATTGACGAGACAAAATTTTTTTCCATGCAAATGAGGGTTAGATCAGTCGCATCTTATTTTGTGTATCATTTCATTCTATAACAGTTTCCCTGTTAGTTCTTCATTGCTATAGTCAGCCCGAGCGAAATTTCGGTTGGTCGATCGGAATCCGACCGAAGTGGCATTTTGTCATTCGGATAGTCGGAATTCCAACCGACTTTCCAAATTCCGACCGTCGGAATTCCGATCAAAATTTTCTGATTTTTCCGACCGACTGTCGGTCGGATCCCATCACCAACATATATGTATATTTTCTAAGTTTTGAAAGCGAACTTTTGCCTTCCACTTTATACGTGCTTTTTAGTGAGTGAAAGAATCGTCAGCTAGTCAGTCATGCAATCAATTGTTTCTGAAGCAACGTTCAGGAATTTTTTGTTGTATTTTTATGATTCTTTTTTTGTGCGGTTTCTGTGTGTCGACTGATAGTCTTTACGGGTTTCTTTTTGTTTGATAATATCAAGTATTCCGTTTTTCGTCACTTTTCCAGTTGTTTGAAATTGTTTTTAAATTTTTTCCCCGTTTCCTAATTCAATTTCGGCTAGTTCATACTGTCATTTGTACGGTTGCACACATGTATTACTCATAATTGTGCACTGTTGTCATTTTAAGGTGGTATTCGAATGATTTTACTTATTTCTTTTGCTAATTTCCATTCAAATATATGCCACTTCTTTCTGCCTTCCCCGTTTTGAACTGACTTATCAGAGCCGATGAAAGAAGCACCATAACAGTCCATCTGCTGTGAATCTTTTTTTTATTCTTCCCGTATTTGTTATGGCATTGCTTATACCTTCCTGACGCAATTCATTTTCTTACTTCGGATTTGCGATCCTCACTGAAAGATTTTGTCGGTTTTTATCGTTTCATAGCTGAATTATTCATAGTCATCGAATACTATGATAAATGTTCAAAATGGATTAAGAAGAAAAGAGTTACAAGAAAACAAAAACGCAGTTCTTGCCAAATCATCTAGCGATCAATTTGAATTGCAAATAGTCATATTGGAATGTGAAATAATTTAAATTTTGCTCTATTTTACTAACTGATAATTGTTTCGTGCATTCGTTTGATTTTTATTGTACATGAAACAATTCCATCTCACTTTGTTATGTGCCTGAGAAGTGTAATTCGTCCTGTCCAAATTATGTCATTGCTATAGTTGTTAACAATTTCGAGATTGTGTATGTAATTTGTGATATGTTCATTTCAATGACTTATGTGTATAAATATCGCAACTTCTGTTCATTAGTAAAACGCAGTATTTTATAAGTGATGCCGTTTAGCGCACGTAAGAATGAGTTTTGCATAGAAATCTTCTAAAATTCGACTGTAATTATCTTCATGGTTATAATAATAATAATAACATGTCGTCTGTCGTCTTGCAAATTTTTATCACGGGAACTGGACAATGTTACTGGATTGATTAATTGTGCTCCAACTCACACTTTACAAACTCAAGGTTAGAGGGGAGTAAAGGATCACGATAACATTTCCGGGTTGGAACTAGTGGTTAGTGATTGACACAAATTTATGATTGATTGAAAAAGGTTTATTAATAATGGCTGCAACAAGTTCGGTAAAGATTGGAAGAGATTTAATGATGATTGCAAGCGATTCGTTATTGACTGCAACAAATTCATTGATGGAAACCGTGTAGTAGTGTGATCGTGCTAATACAAAGCTGCTTGATAAGGGTTTGTTTGTTGAATAAGCGTGTTTTGCGTTGTAGTCGAGAGTGAAGTATGAAGCAAATGCATACACATGGCGATAAGTTGAGCGAAATATTACGACACAGAAAGCTTCTAAATTGAGGATTGAATGCGATGCGGTTGTCAGCTTGTTGTCGCGTTGCGGTTTTATTGAGCGATTGCAATGGATGGACCCAGAGACGGACTGACTACTCATTTAAATTCATCTGGTGATACTAGTAAGCATTTGTGTTAATAGCTGCATTGCTAGCAGCCAACGTATACGTCATATTTGCGTTAATTTGGAATGATCTAAATTATATTCACGTAAAAATAATCACGTCTGAATATAAGTTATTTTAATGGATGCACTACTGTTCAATCTTGCTTCGAATGCTGCACCCAAGTATGCTGAATTATCAACTGCAGCCAACAGTGCCCGAGGTTCGTTTCATTCAATTCCAGTCAATTATATGGGTGCGGGCAAATAAGATCCATCAGAAGAAACTGTTACAATTCAATCTGTCATTAAGGGTGGGCAATTAACAAAACTGAACACGAATCCATTGAAGGGAACTAAAATTATTCGTCAGTTAGATATCGGAAATTTATTCAGAAATGGCATTGCGCGATAGCGATAACTCGGGTGCACCACATATCTTGCGAGCGAAATGTTTAGCAGCCGTTCAAATCGCGCTCAATACGAAACAACCGAAAATCTCACAAATCGCCACTGATGCCTTACAGGTTTCACACTGATTTATTAGAATCTTTTCATATCATATATTGTAAATTTATCATGAATCCAGTATTCTTAATCGCAGTATTCATTATTCTAACGGTTCGGTGAACGATCTAATACCATTTGAATAAGCAATTTTGATCGGAACGTGGTATGCATCGTGATATGATTTCAGATCAAAAACTGACTGAATGAGTATATTTTCATTAAAATCTTATTTGAAAGGCAATGGTTCGTGATAAAAGATTCGAGCGTGAAGATGTGACTGAAACCGAGAACGAGAGCTGTGCTATACAAGTTCTGAGTGCATTGAGTGCATTGCACACTTGGAAACCTCAATACCAGTGTCGATTATTTACGGTAAGATTAATGACACGAACATCACCACTTCTCTAACGCAAACTTGAAATATAATAAATAGTTAACGGTGGAAATTAATTCAGATCTTAGTTGAAATGATGTGCAGTGACGATCGAAGAACGTCTGTGGCTGCTGTGAATGCAGTTTTAGAGGTATGAATAATGTGCTCCAAAGAAAGTTACATCACAAATACGTTCATTGTTCATCTCCTAACCAAAACACTCACGAATGTTTCCTTCATGTATTTGATCACACTCTCAATTGGAAACCTACTTACAATTAGATTGAAACACCAAATGTGCTCTCGAAAACTCAATAAAGATAACAAGCTGAGGACGTTTTTATCATTGCACTGTGAATTTTATGTCGGGTAGTCAGGAAGATATGCTTGTTTTAAGTTATGCATGAAAGTGTACGAGTCGGCTGAAACAACAAGTGTGCGTCTTGCCTCAAGAGCTGCTATTTCACAGATTATCAGCTCTTTTTGTGCATCGTCGAATCTTGATGCGGTAATTTCATGCTCATTGTTCATTTGGTTGGCACAAACTAAGATTGCAGCTCATCTTATTCAGCGGTTGTTTACATCCAATCGCAAAAAAAAAAGACTTTTATTGCATAATCATCCGAGCGGTCTGCCTCATATGTCATCATCCTTATTTGAGCTAATATAGAAATATAAATAAAAGTTTTGGAAATGTGTATTTCAAAGTGTCATCATGATGTTCAAATTGAAGGATGATGATAGCAAACAGGAGCAAATAGCTGTTTTCATGGATGCAACGTCTGTGTTGGATAGTGCTATTAAAAAGACGAACTCATTGGGGCACCACGCAGAAGAAACTGTCATTCTTCTTGATGCTATTCACAGCATTCTTTGTTCGCAGTCAAATACGATTCAAAATCATCAACCATTCATCAATGTCATTTGGTGAGTGAATGCTGACTGCTCATCTAGATGCAAGTGAACTGCTTTACTGAAGTTCAATATTATCTAATTGGCGTACCTCTTTTGAATCCACTGAGAATATAGCGCTCACAGTTTCACATAATAACTCATCGAATAGTCTTTTCGAAATCGGTTAATTTTTTTGGTATGAGTCATAGCACCAAATATATAACTAAAAACTGGTGAATGCCTTCCTTGTATCCAAGTTAAAAATAGAGATGATAACAAAACTTTGATTGACAACTTAGGCAAGAACTATGTCCGTGCATAATGAAGCTACTCGGCGAGCCACTGAGAGGATCTACTCGAGATAAGACTGATGAGCCACTGGGTCGGGGTCAGAGTGCAGTTGTCATACTCAATAAATCAATTTTCGAATTTCCTGAAGCAGCACGTTCACTTTATCAGTTTGTTGCTCTATTCATCGCTGATCGCCTATCTCTGTTTATTTATGAGGATCATCCATCAATTCAGCAGTTTTCAAAGAAGCAATCATGATTTATTTTTTGTTGTTTTCACAATGGACAATTGCATTCATAGATGTGCTTGCATGAATCTTACACAATATCAAGTAATATTGTTTCTGAACTCTTCAAAATTCTCAGTTAAAAAATTCTGCTCATTAATCAATGAATACTGGCTGTTTCATCAATGAAGAAAGAAACCAGAATGGTTGTGTTCTTTCAGAATTGTTGAACAATTGTTACGTTTGCTTGCTCCTTTGCCGACAATGTACACCGTCCTAGAAGCAGTTTTTCACAAAGCGTTACTCTATCCAAAAGTTGAACAACGAGCAGAAGCTCTCCGTCTCATCAGAAAAGTAATTCGTCAATCTTCTATAGCCTTTAAATGTTCATCAAGTATTCAATAATCACATCCAGAAACCTCGATACAGTTGTATTTCAGTTATCATTTAACCATAAACAAGTGGTGCAATAAGAAGCAATATTATTTGATGATCAGAAATTTCATGTAATCGGTTTCGGAATTGATCTTCACACTGATTCGATCTAAAGTTCAGTGATATTTATTCTAATATCAGGTCGTTGGAAACGATGAACGAACGGTGGACCTGTTATCGATTTCTGTTCACGCAAAGGCACTCACTCTTTGGAAGATCTTCCTGGACTGTATCTTTGAATGCACTCATTCAAACTGTATCGAAATTTCAATTGAATCATTACGTTGTATTGAAATATTCGTAAGTTAATCAAATATTACCCTATTTATCTGATCGTGAGTTATTATCGAATGACTGTTTAAATGAGGTTTTTGAATGTCTATTCAAATTGCTGCGAGTGTTCGATTTCAGTTAAGTTCTCTTTCGAGAATTTGCTCTGCTGATGGTGCTGAAATATTGCCTCCTCAATTAGTTGTTCTAACGTGTGAGCTTCTGCCGTCATCCAAAGCATCTGTTGTTGCATGTGAGTTACTTCTGAACTCATATTCAAAAAGTATTCACTCGTTTTTGTTCAGTTATTCCGATACTTCTTCTGCATTTTGCATTCTTCTGACAAATTCGATGAAAACTGACCAAAGCGATATTCTTTTATTGCTTATAAATGTTCGAAGATCTTATAAAAGTATCAACAATGATCATCAGTCGAAGGAACTGATGAGAAAATTTTTGAATGTTTAAATTTCACATGTATTCTTTATGAGTTTCGCATTTTTGTTGTAGCTTTTCCCTACAAGATAGATGAAGGACTGAAAAGAGCAACTGAAATGATGAGTATTGGAAGTTTCGATGACGAAAAACGAATTGAAGCAACAGATGCTGATAATGGAACGGAGAATAATCATCAAGAGGACGACAAACGCACCTTAAAAGAGAGCCTTCAACTGAAAGCATTCAATACAAGCTCTGATGTACGGATCGATGCCCTTTTGTGCATTTAAGAATTGCATCGTTGTTGCATAAATTCACGCCAAATTTCCCCAAAAATTTCCACTATCACTCAAAATGACCGATCGCAATAAACGTTTGCCTTGAAATTAAGCATCCGATTTTCCTCTGGATTGTCAGAATTTAACATAAATGGTGAAAATTTTTCACGTCTTTGTAGGAGATTTCCACAAGGCTCCATTGCTTAGCAAAAAAAATTCAAGAACAAAATGCTGACCACGATTTCAATGCTAGCGATAGTGCTGAGCCGCATGAATCGAGCAATGAGGTGAGTCAATTCCGTGCAACTCTCTTATCGTTTGAATTGCAGGCGAGAATAATGATTTGTAATCAGTGATGAGTACACCACTCAATTTGTGTTCCACTCACGAGTTTCTATTCAGTAATTCAACTGCTTAACCGAATATTTAAAATGGAAGAGATAAGACTCGAGATATTGCAAAGATGACAATCAACTAATCAACTATTTTCATCATGTTCCTACGCATTTTTGAAGTTTCTTTTACAAAGATCACAATTAACGCTCATAGTTGGAGTTCCGGTCATTCAAATCAAGTGTGAAACCGATGTCGTTGAATATCGATAAAATTGTTTCGACAAACAATCAGATTATTGTGATTTTTCGAGTCTCATCAGAATTGTTGTGTTAATGCGATTATTCACCATGTTTCTTGTTCGTAAGGAAGAGAACGAAACCGCGAAATGCTTCGTAAATGAGCTAGAAGCACGATTACCGAGTTGGATGCAGTTGAAGAGTACAATCGAAGTTGATGAAGCAATCCAAGCATTTGCTTCCACTTTTTTCTCAGGTAAACTCTGCTATTTAGTGACGTTTCCATTGCTATATTTTTCTTTTGTATTTTGCTAATAGTGAATGTTCACTCGGTTATGAATTGTTTTCATCAATCGTCGAATTGATACGTATGAAATAAGGACACTGTTTATGAAATATGGCTTCAGAGGCAAAAAGTGGTCGCAATCAAACTAACAGTATCAGATTACATGCATTGAACGTGAACTGAAATTTACGCTCGATTAGAGGAAAAGGAATGTTATGTTATTGCATTTTTAGAGTTCAACGATGCGCAAAAGATTGCATTTGAATCACGTGGTCGAGCACAGTCACAATTTCTGAATTCGGATGCCATTTACCTGTGCATTTATGCATCATTGGCTGTTTCTATGCGACTGCATACGCATCCAGACACGGACAAGGTTTGTGATAATTACTGAACGTGTTTTTGTTTCGTGTATGCAAAACTAATGATTTTTCATTATGAAACCACAAAATGCATACGTTTTCAGCGATGGTTCGTTAACGAAATCTTACGAAGTGGTTGCATTGTGTATGCAAGCGATCGTTGGTTATGTGCCGTTTATTCGCAGTTGATGAATCGTGATATTTTTGCAACATACACAAATCAGCCAAATAGCTCACCACTGATTGATGCTATTCAAGGTTTTCGTTAAAGATATGTTCTTTTGTATTACTGGTGATTCTGAATTTCAATAGGACCTTCATGAGACCATCGTTATAACTTAAAATAGGTTCTCCCTTCTCCGCAACCTCTTTGTAAATGCAGTGGTGCAGCAATTGTTTTCATTATTAATAAACACACTAACAATAATATGCTGAGTATTTGCAGCTTGCCAGAATTTTTATTAGTTCATTGGAAATACGTCTATATTACTTTGGATATTGTAATTTCACTGATCTAAACAGTAGTTTAGATTTTGATGGTCGGGATCAGCGCATAATGAGCGATGTTCGTCGTATTCAGAAATTAGTCGCTCTACCGAGTGATCATTGTGTAGCTGGTTGGTGGTTCAAAGTCATTTTTTGTTCAATGAAACTCTGATCAATGGCCATTCAGAAGCATTACCGCTTGAATGCGAAGAGAGGGGCGTTGTTTTATTTGGAATGATTAGCATACATGTTCAAGAATGTGAAAGAAATATGAACTAAAAATGTTCAGCTCGTCGCTCATCACGATGGATTTTGACAGCATCATGGGACGCCTTCATCGGTGCAATATCACGTTTCGTTATTTCACGTGATAAGCAACGTGGCATTATACGTCCGAAACTTTCCGAAGCCACTAATCATGCACTTCATGCCGTTCACGCTCTTGCTTACATCTCCACTGCACTAGGTTAATTTTATATAAAATGATGTTTCTCCTTGTTTATTTGAACAAAAAAAAATCCGTCGAATCATTGTTAAATTGACTTTAACGAATAGCTGGTTTCGTTGCTATTCTGGAATTAGTTGACCGACACTTGAATGATATCGATAGAATTATTATACAAAGTTTATATATATTTTTAAAATGAATGAGTTTAACGTTTAATTGCAACATTATTTAGGCATTGGCAATCGAAGTGGTTGGATATTCGAACAGCTGGTTGAAATGTCTTGTCCAGTTGAGGAACTACGTGAGATGAGCTCACGAGAGAAGATCAATAACTCGTCAAGCGATCGCCTCACCAAATGGCCGTTGCGTCGAGTGGATGCGTTCTCAATGCAAATCATACTTGATACTGCACTTGAATGTGCACTTCATGCACCCGAATGCTGGAAACATGTGATCAGGTTGTTAGGATTCTGTTTTATGTTTAACATCATCGACACTTGCAAAATCACCTCGAGTTGTTGTGAATGAATTCGTTTAGATGTACCGAATATATTTGGGAAGTCGAGAAATTTTTGTTCGGAACAACGGCACAAGAGCAAAACAATAGATGGTCGTTATGGAAGAAGAAGGATACAAAGAAAGTTCTAACTGATGAACAACAGTATACCGAACAAAGTATTGAGGATATTCTAAATGGTAGTGCTGACGATATCTTGGATAGTCATATAGCAGCACGGGTTCTGTGTGTTCTTATCGCTAAAACTGATAGGTCAGACATTTTTCTAAATGAATTTCTTGGAACTCCATTCGAACGAATTACACAATTCAATAGTCACATTTTTCCATTTATGAAATGACTCAATCCTTAAATATTCAATAATTTCAGTTTGTATGAGAGTGTCGGCAAGAAGTTGAATTTGCAGTCGTTATGTGAGCTAATGAAAAGCTTAGTGACCGCAAGTGAGAATCGATTACAGTATTCCACCCAAAAGAGCGTCGCACTAACCGAACCGGCTAGCATAATGCACCGAATTGCGTTCATTATGCTGCGATTATCACCACGGCCGTTAATACATTTGATGAAAGTTTGGCCAATAATTACTTCACATTTTATACAGGTGTGTCTTTTATGTCGTTTCGTCATGCTCTTAACTCCGTTCATTTGGATATTAACGATGGAAGATTCCAACTGCAAACCACTCTTAAGCGTTTTTTCTTTGCTTCAGTGTGCTTGTACTCGTGAAGATGAACAATTGACGAGAGCATCAATTGGATGTTTGAATGATTGCGTTTCGGGTCTTTTAATATCAGAATCGAATGGTTTCTGCTTCAACCAAATGCTCTTCCATCCATTTCAGGTTGTTTCATTTATGTAAAGTTGCTGAAGTGCATATTTTGAGGAGGCATTTGAATGCTGATTTATTATATTCACGATTAATTGATCGTTGACTAGATCGTTGCATATTTTGAGTGAAATAGCCTATGATAACAGGATATTCTGTGTGGTGATATGTGTTCTGAAGAATCTCAAGATCAAATTGTGTCACTACTCGCCTCGTTTGTGCATGCTCGTTCGGATGAGATCGGCTCCGGATGGCGTCCTCTTTTCGGTGCTTTACGTGCGCTTCGCACATCTCCACTCAACGGTTAGCGCCGGCAATAACATTATCCAACTGTGAAAATTATATGAAAAGTTCATTCTTTGAAGTACTTTTTTTCTCGTAGAATACAAAATAGTGATTCATTTTTTCTTTATCATCAATTGTTTTGATGTGAAATCATTATGAATTCAGTGCATTCGCATTCAATTGATATTTGATTGTTATTGTGATGACTTTAAGTGGTTTTCGCGAAAATTTGGTAAGCGATAGAGAAATTCTGATTGCGGATTATTACTCAGTATATCTGATGGTAACATATTGTTTAGCTGCCTAAGAAAAGATGAAGCTCGTTCGACGGTGTAATTCATTTGTTCTTCACAACTAGTGAGCCATGTTCGATTGAGGGCGTAACGTCAAAGTGACGAAATTCATAGAGGGATTCGCTTTCCGTAGTCCACCTCTAATATTTTCTCTCCGCACACAATTCATCCTTACCTTCATATTTCGTTTGCGCAGATGTTTAGCCGTTCAAAATAATAGTGCAAATCGTCAGAGGGCGAAATGCGTGGGGATGAACCTTCCGCAAACCACATTATAATCACGCTGAAGAGAAGTATCTGTAGTGAGCGATATAAGTTGCTGCAGAAAGTGATGCGATCAATGACGGCATTTCTTCGGTTCAAGCCACTGTCCTTGATGTTTTCTCGACCTACCTCAATATTCGGAATGCGAATATCCTTATTGCAACTCTACTCGATTACATCACTTGCGTGTTACATTACCTTCAAGCCAGCGGTAAACACCAGTTCTCTTTCATCACTTTTCATTTCATAATTCATTCGTCACAATCAGGCACATAAATCAGAGTGTCTTTTGTTCGCTGAAATATATTCAGTTCAGCTTCGACAAGAAAAGTTTCTGCACTCCTCTTGAAATCAAACCAAAATTTCTCGCTCAACTTCCAGAATCGAACTTTGGCGAAAATTGTCAAGATTTTGAAGTGGCTTCGACAGCTTTAAAGTGCCTCTTGAAAGTTGAAAATATGGTGCATGAACTGGCCATCAAAGCCGATAGCGCTGTTCCTCATCTTCTCCATAGGTCAGTTGAGCGCAATGAGCGTTTGAAGATTACTAGCCGTCATGTGACTAATAACATCAGCCGAAAACAATCAGCAATATGATAAGATATTTCTACTGGAAAATTCATTTTCCTCGTTATTCGTTATTGCAAATTACGATAGACGCAATCATTTGTTGCTGAAATTTAGAATTAGTTCGAATGTGTTTTGAATTCAGACTTGTGTTGAGAGAACGGGTCTGTGAAAGTATCGACGCATCAGTTGAACCGTCTTATATAGTGGAACCGCTGTCGAGCGTTCTACTTGATGATCCATTTTTCGATAGCACCTATCATTCACCACTTCCAGTCGATCTTGATCGCATTATACAACGTAACGTTGAATTTATTCTTACTGTTAATACAAGAATTCAACTGCTTTACCTATAATACTCTTCAAATATTATCCATAAAATTCAATAACAGTTACTTGTGAGTTAGCATCTAGATTCTAGAAGGTCAGCCAAAGCATTTGCTGGGTGCCTTTGGGTTGTTCAAATTATTGAATGTGGAATTTTGTGAGCACATTAATCGCATGATATTACTCAAACAGTTTAGCAACACTCGATTCGTTTCCATGGACCTCGTCTGGTGCTGTGGTGAAAAGCTGTATTGAGCTGCATCTGTCATTAGTTGAGGGTTTAACTGCTGTCGCAATCACTTGTCCGGCCTCATTACAATCCAAGTTGCTTGCCACTATCGCAGATATCATTTCAAATCTCATCAATTCAAAATTCGGTATTCATTCTATTTTGCAATCGTTTTTATAAGCTCGATTCGTTCCAATGGAACAGTGGTCAAATTTGAAGTTTCGCATACAGGAATGGACTATGGCTCATACACACTTTCTTCGCTGATATTCCCAGTTTTGCAACAATGGATTCGACGCGAAACTTCTGATAGTGAAGTGAATTTGAAACAAGCAATTGGACTATTCACCGAAGTTACTGTTACTTACATGAATACCTCACAAGGTAAATCTGGTAATTCTTTGTAGTGCTACTCTATTAATAGAACGCTTTCTGTCATTCAGTGTCTGTGATAAGTGAAATGAAATGACGAAATTCATATGTTTTAATACCAGTCCACTTTTTTAATAGTATCACTCGAAAATAGTTGCTTATTTGTCAGGTCGTCATATAGATCTTAATCAATCTACAGATAATCCTTCGATTGATCGTGTTCTAATGGACTCATTGGCAGTCTTAAGTGAATGTTCAGCGCGTTGCTCTGAACGAGTCGCTCGACTTGGATGTGCTTGTATTAGGCATCTTATCAAAGCAACTGCCAATTCATTCACTCAGTCCAGATGGACTATTGTAGTTCGATCTTTATGGAACACTGTGTCTGTTCATTATTATTATTATTATTATTATTATTATTATTAG